CATTTTGGGTCCTATAGCCCCATAACAGGATACTGTCAATAATTGGGACCTGGATCAAACAGCACCATCATTACGAATTTAATGATTTAATAAACCAAAAATATTAAGCACTACCGACCCGAACGAACCCAAAATATTAACCATTACTGACTCTTAACTTCCACTACTCACCAGTGTTGACAAGGATGTCATCCTCAATGTTCAGTACCCAACAGTTTTTACATTTTATATTTAGACAATGTCTCGCATATACGGCAAAATTTTCAGTTAATTTTGAATTATTGACTTGAAAAAATCGTTTGTACATTAGAAACGTTGACTGATAAAAAAAAATCCCCGGGTTTTCAGGTTTATAAAACTTTGGTTAGGCTTTATTTAGATTACGCTGCTCAGTTCTGGTCTCCATATTACAAAATGTCAACAGGGATTTCATGTATCGAACTCTTTCTAGGAAGACAGTCTGAAGTCACTGAATTTGCACTCTGAAAGACGTAGAATTGGGAGATAATGTGGCTGTAATGCTCAAATGGAAGACGGGAATACATAGGATATAACGTGCAGCAATGGACTAAGGTCAGAGATGTATTTAGATTTGGAGATGATGTGGGGGGAAATACGGATTTGGCAATAGTTGATGAGTGGAAGAAACTCCCAGGTAGCGTCATTGAGGAGAGAACTCTGGGTGGGTTTAAATATAGTTTGGGTGAGTATAAGCTGGACTTGCTTATGCGCCAGTTGGCCTACTGCATTTTTTTTAATTATGTTCTTTGTTTTTCTAACGTGAACTGTCTATTACATACAAACTATCGGTATTCGTGTATCATTTTTATAATTACTTGGGAGTGTAATAAGGACCATTCTAGGGAGGTGGAGGGGGGATACACACCCAATTTGGGTTGGATTTTGAAGAGCTGATAGGCTAGCTTTAACAAATTCACTGCATTAATAGATATAAAAAACTGGAGCTCAGCTCAACGAGCACTAAGTGAACCACTGTCTATTTATATGCCAGCAGTGGCTCTCGACTGTGACGTGGCAGCCTAGCAAACTCACGAGGTGGTGTTGGCACGCCTCAAGGTGCCGACACTCTTGCCCATGGCAACCACCAACGACGCAGTTACTTGCTGGGGTTTCCAGACGATGACAGGAGTGAATAGAAGAATGGTTACATAGGACGAAAAGAGTAAATAGTTAAGAAAGAGGGGACTCTAATTAACGTCCATTATTTAAACAACACACAACCGGAAAGTGACTGGCAACATTGCTGCCCAGATCACAGGAGCTTGTTTTACTGTGACGTCATAACCAGGGGGAGCACTGCCCCTTTTCCCTGTTGGGCACTAAAAACATTGATGTGGTAGTCGACCCGTGGGTCATAATGGTGGGGGAAACATTGTGTGTAGTTTAGCTCCAGAGTTAATTTAATACCCATGGCTGAAGAAACATATTAATCAAAACAATTGATGAGTGTCTTAAACTCGCTCTTTATTATGAAATTAGTAGTTAAATTTATATACAAGTAATGCAAGTCTCAGTGAACACGCATTTTTTTTTTTCGTGCAATAATTATTTAACCAAGCTTAACATTGTGCAATTATTGGGTTTGTGATATCGCCGCCAACACTGGGTCACCTTAACGCTGTGGTGAGGTTAGTAACCCTGACACTGGGTCACCTTAACGCTGTGGTGAGGTTAGTAACCCTGACACTGGGTCACCTTAACGCTGTGGTGAGGTTTGTAACCCTGACACTGGGTCACCTTAACACAGTGGTGGTTAGTAACCCTGACACTGGGTCACCTTAACAGTGGTGAGGTTAGTAACCCTGACACTGGGTCACCTTAACACAGTGGTGAGGTTAGTAACCTTGACACTGGGTCACCTTAACACAGTGGTGAGGTTAGTAACCCTGACACTGGGTCACCTTAACAGTGGTGAGGTTAGTAACCCTGACACTGGGTCACCTTAACACAGTGGTGAGGTTTATAACCCTGACACTGGGTCACCTTAACACAGTGGTGAGGTTTGTAACCCTGACACTGGGTCACCCTAACACAGTGGTGAGGTTAGAAACCCTGACACTGGGTCACCTTAACACAGTGGTGAAGTTAGTAACCCTGACACTGGGTCACCTTAACAGTGGTGAGGTTTGTAACCCTGACACTGGGTCACCTTAACACAGTGGTGAGGTTTGTAACCCTGACACTGGGTCACCTTAACACAGTGGTGAGGTTTGTAACCCTGACACTGGGTCACCTTAACACAGTGGTGAGGTTTGTAACCCTGACACTGGGTCACCTTAACACAGTGGTGAGGTTTGTAACCCTGACACTGGGTCACATTAACACAGTGGTGAGGTTTGTAACCCTAACACTGGTCACCCTAAAACAGTGGTGAGGTTAGTAACCCTGACACTGGGTCACCTTAACACAGTGGTGAGGTTAGTAACCCTGACACTGGGTCACCTTAACACAGTGGTGAGATTTGTAACCCTGACACTGGGTCACCCTAACAGTGGTGAGATTTGTAACCCTGACACTGGGTCACCCTAACAGTGGTGAGGTTTGTAACCCTGACACTGGGTCACCTTCACACAGTGGTGAGGTTTGTAACCCTGACACTGGGTCACCTTCACAGTGGTGAGGTTTGTAACCCTGACACTGGGTCACCTTCACAGTGGTGAGGTTTGTAACCCTGACACTGTGTCACCTTCACACAGTGGTGAGGTTTGTAACCCCAGACACTGGGTCAACATTAACACGGTGGTAAAGTTACTATGGCTTGTCTCCAGGTACACCTCCAGGATGTTTGCTCTGAGTTACTGTCAATGACTGAGCTAATTATTATATGGTTAGTGAATTATTTGTTTTGCTAGTCTTGTGACTAGTGTAACGTGACAATATACAAGTCATGACAGAACACTATACTGGCACGTTGATGAATATTCAAGACACATGTGCAGCATCTTCGTATCTTTAATGCTGCGACAACACACTAGCAGGCTCCTTCAGTCGAATACAGGCCTGGTGGCTAAAGCTCTTGCTTCACACGGCGATGTCCGGGTTCGATTCCAAGCGAGGGCAGAAACATTTGGCGTGTTTCTTTACACCGGTTGTCTATGTTCCCCATCAGGAAAATGGGTACCTGGGTGTTAGTAGACTGGTGTGGGTCGCATCCCGGGACAAAAACTGACCAAATTTTCCCGAAATGCTCAGCATAACAAGCGGCTTTCTATATAGTAGTATGACATTGATGTCAGCTAGACTTGTATACCTTGTATATGTACTTGCAGAAATGGATATTATTATTATTTTACTTTATTATTATAATAAAACCTAAGACCGTGGAAGTACGTACGTAATTACAAAGTTACATGTTCCCTCAGCCAAGACTGGAGGAGAGAGCACATTGGTAACGTGACTGTTCTTGTGCTGAAAGTGCTTATTAATTAACACATTGTATTGCTTTGCAAGTCCGACTTGTACCACTGCTACCACAACTGCTTCGTTAATAACATCTTTCCTTCATTAAAATTAGCGAGGGTGATGATGGTAGCAGCAGTGACCCGGTCAGATTATTGGTGTCGCCGTCTGGTATTGTGTTTTAAATGCCCAAGACTAAAATTTTCGTTCGAATTACCAGGCACTGGGGAGTACCTATTACAGTACTGTAGTAATCATAGGAAAGCGGCGTTAAACCCTTAGGCCATACTGAGATTTGTTCCAAGGAAGGAGAGGTAGCTCCCTCTCCTCAGGTGCTTCCTTGCAGGGGTACATTTAGAGGATGTCGGGAAAATATTAACAGACTTTAATTAGTGGAAAGAGTTTTAACCTTGTATGATTGTAATTGTTTTACAGGGTGTTACTGTGAATGTTTTTTTTTTTTTTGAAGGGGGTTAATTTGTGTTGAACGCGGCGCATCTTAGGGACATAATATTTTACTACTAAATGGTCTTTTAATGCCAGCCTTCTGTAAATTTTGTAGCTTGCCGCTCTAGCATGGATGAAGACACAGAGGAAGTATAATGCGATCTTTTATTAGTAAGTAAGTTGCCCATACAGTGGTGAATCATTGTCAGTCAGGGATCTCATTATACTCATTATACATTGTGTGGGTATTTTCTACCATTTCATTAGCATGGAGCACAGGCTGTGGGGGTATCGAGCAGCGTTCTCAGTGGTATGATATAGTTATCACTAGCACTGGTCAGTGCCAAGGGTACCCACTCCTTGGCACAGCTCCCATACTAATCCCGGGGTATATGCCGGGTCAGTTATTTAGCAAAACACTGTATAGATGTACTGTCTGTACATAGTGTATTGTAGTTAACCGTTTATATTTTTTGTACTTTTACCTGAACAGGATTTCATGTAATATCACTATTCTAACATATACGAGGACATTCAACAGCTATCTACTAGAGGTGTCAAATCATCCAGATTGTGATGGCTAGTGTAGGCCAACAGGTTGCTGGCAGCAACAACCTGGTTCAACAGTCTGTTCCTTAATGTTATATATATCAATTGCCTGAGCTTGCTACCATCTGCAGCTCATAAGACTGCCATCCCCACGAGCCCTTTTAGGGCGGGGCAGATGGCAGACCAGAGGCCTAGCTTCTCCCGCCCCGTGAGGGCGGGGAATGTGGCTAGGCCTGGGGACAGTTGGTCCCAAAGATGAGGGGGTACTTGTACCTCCTCCCATGGGAGACTTAAGTCTCGAGACACTCCCCAGATAGGGAGCCAAGGCCGGGTCACCACTACTTGGAAAAGACCCGGGCCGGGAGAGTACCGGCGAATAAAAAAAAAAAATGTTATATATGGTAATAGTCCGGGCTACAAGGGTAGAAAAACCCTTAAACCGGTCGTAGGTATATCACGGTATTGCTGCTGTTTTTTTCAGTAATTATTATTCAAAGACAAATTAAATCCAGTTATTTTTGGTAATTATATTTCTATTCTACAGAGCAAGGTTACACAAAATATTTTTTTCATATCCCCTACAGCATGCCTATGGAAATAGTGAACCCTGATATAATGGGCGAGGATGGTGAGGAAGAGGAAGAAGGAGTAATGGAAGTTTCTGAGACAGAGGAAGAGATGGATGGAAGCAGTCGCAATCAGGAAGGAAGGAAGGAAAAACGGAAACCTTCCATCCAAAGGGAGCTGGCTGATGCTATTGTTCGTCTGGCACCCCTCGAGGAGTTGAGGATCTTGCTCAAGTGTGGTGCCAATGTAAGTCCTGGGTTAATGGTACTATTATACAGGCGCTTCAAACATAATTTCTGCCACACTGTGCAGCTACCATAATCCATATTTTTGAACGTAGGAGCAAGACTCCGCTGCTCTCCAGGCAAAATTCAGTTCAAAATTCAAATGTTTATTTCTCTGTAAGGATTACAATGGGTGGTTTACGTATTATAAAATAATAATTACAAAGGCCACTAGCATGTCCATCTCTGTACATTGTATCATGATGACAAAATTGTTACTATGATTTTTATTCGTCTGAAGCGTTCATTATATAATACGGTATCGCCAGCGTTTTTTTTTTTTTATTAGAATCCTACAAAAAGTTAAGCATATGTTGGGCTCCATAACTAGAAATTAGAGATCATGTGGATAATCAACGTTAAGTTAATACGTATTGACCGGCCCAGATGAACACGGTGGTTCCCTGGTGGCTAAAGTTCTCGCTTCACACACGGAGGGCCCGGGTTCGATTCCCGGCGGGGTGGAAACATTTCGACGTAGTATTTCCTTACCCCTGTTGTCATGTTTACCTTGCAGCAAGTAGGTACCTGGGTGTTAGTCGACTGGTGTGGGTCGCATCCTGGGAACAAGATTGAGAGCTCCAATGGAAATAAGACAGTCTTTCTCGGGTTATCCTGGGTGGCTAACCCTCCGGGGTTAAACATCCGAAGAAAATCTCTTATATTATCACTTGTTCACTTGTCCTGACTTTCAAAGCGGATTTTGGAACTTTGACTTATCCATGGGTATTTTTTTTTATCAGGTGAAGGACACTGTAACCCAGGGCTTGTCCCCTCTACATTATGCTGTGTGGCAGCGGTACCCAGAGGCAGCAGAGTTCCTCATTGATGAAGGTAACTTTTGTCTACTTATACCTATAATATTTACAGTGTGGAGCAAAGTTACAAATTCCTAAGTCTTGTTTGAAGACAATTTTCATACTTCTGATGGGTCCAACTCTACTCTGCTTATTCCCTTCCATCTCTTAATACTTGGGTTAAATTTTTGGGCAGGGTGGATGGTATGGGAGTCTCCTTACACCTGCTGTCCATATTAACCTAGCAGTAAGTAGGTACTTACAAGTTAGTGAGAAGTGGAAATAAGCCATACCAGGCTTTGTTAGGTTATCCTGGATTAAAAGCTCTGAAGAATTCCTTCATTTCTGTATTACCTTGTCCCACAGGTTGTGATATCAATGCGAAAGATGATATAGGTTACACAGCGCTGCATCTGTCAGCAGAACACGGGTACATAGAGATGATGGAGGTGCTGCTCAAGCATGGTGCTCAGGTCAACTTTAACATCCCACCCGAGGACGAGGATGACTTTCCCACAGATGCCTACGACGAGCCTCTCCGTCTGGCTCTTAAGGTGAGCAGCTGCAACTGAGGTGGTGGGTAGCTCAGGGGTGTGACTTCACCTCACAATTGACAAATCTTGAGTTCAATCCCTGGGTCAGCAGATATTTGAATTTCTTTACTCCCCCCCCCCCTACCACTAATCTCCCTTCCCTTTGCTTACCTAGCAGTTAAAATAGGTACTGTATCTTCATGAAAACAATTACAGGCTTTCGTTTTACACTCACTTGGCAGGACGGTTGCTGTCTACAAGCATATATATACACACCCCTCTGGGTTTTCTGCTATTTTCTTTCTAGTTCTTGTTTATTTCCTCTTATCTTCATGGAGAATTTTTAACACATACTTCCTCTCAGTTTTTACACAGGAGGATACCAGCGATATTCCAGAAATGATAAATTATGTAGAACAGGACGATAATAAACTGTGCACGATTAGGGTCACAAGTGACATGGTCCTTAGGCAAATAGATAAATTAAAACCTAACAAATCCCCAGGCCCTGATGAACTGTATGCAAGGGTTCTAAAGGAATGTAAAGAGGAGCTTAGCAAACCTTTGGCTAATCTTTTTAACATATCACTACAACTGGCATGGTGCCAGATAAGTGGAAAATGGCAAATGTGATACCTATTTTCAAAGCAGGTGACAGGTCCTTAGCTTCGAACTATAGACCAGTAAGCCTAACCTCCATAGTGGGGAAAATTTATGGAATCAATAATTGCCGAGGCAGTTCGTAGCCACCTTGAAAAGCATAAATTAATCAACGAATCTCAGCATGGTTTTACAAAGGGGCGTTCCTGCCTTACGAATTTATTAACTTTTTTCACTAAGGTATTTGAGGAGGTAGATCATGGTAATGAATATGATATTATGTATATGGACTTCAGTAAGGCTTTTGACAGGGTCCCACATCAGAGACTATTGAGGAAAATTAAGGCACATGGAATAGGAGAATTTTTTTCCTGGATAGAGGCATGGTTGACAAATAGGCAGCAGAGAGTTTGCATAAATGGGGAGAAATCAGAGTGGGGAAGCGTCACGAGCGGTGTTCCACGGGGGTCAGTGTTGGGCCCCCTGCTGTTCACAATCTACATAAACGACATAGATGAGGGCATAAAGAGCGACATCAGCAAGTTTGCTGATGACACCAAAATAGGCTGTCGAATTCATTCTGACGAGGACATTAGAGCACTCCAGGAAGATTTGAATAGACTGATGCAGTGGTCAGAGAAGTGGCAGATGCAGTTTAATATAGACAAATGCAAAGTTCTAAATGTTGGACAGGACAATAACCATGCCACATATAAACTAAATAATGTAGATCTTAATATTACGGATTGCGAAAAAGATTTAGGAGTTCTGGTTAGCAGTAATCTGAAACCAAGACAACAGTGCATAAGTGTTCGCAATAAAACTAATAGAATCCTTGGCTTCATATCAAGAAGCATAAATAATAGGAGTCCTCAGGTTGTTCTTCAACTCTATACATCCTTGGTTAGGCCTCATTTAGATTATGCTGCTCAGTTCTGGTCACCGTATTACAGAATGGATATAAATGCTCTGGAAAATGTACAAAGGAGAATGACAAAGTTGATCCCAAGTATCAGAAGCCTTCCCTATTTATTTATTTATTTATTTAGAAATTTTAGCATACAAACAGAGGTACAAAAAATACAGGTAAGAGCAGCATGCCAAAGCCACTTATATGCATAGCATTACGGGCTGGCTTAAAATTAACTTAAGATTAACTAAGCAATGATGAAATCAGTGATAAGACATTATTGTAAACAGATAACTATAAAATACAAATGAGTATTACAAAGACAGGTCCTATGGTTGCATGCATTGCTGTTCATTCAGTAGAATGGAGTATTCTGTTAGGTAGTGTATTTAAAAAAAATAACAAAGTTAGGTTTATGAGGATAAACTAAGGGCCCTGAATCTGCACTCTCTAGAAAGACGTAGAATTTGGGGGGATATGATTGAGGTGTATAAATGGAAGACAGGAATAAATAAAGGGGATGTAAATAGTGTGCTGAAAATATCTAGCCTAGACAGGATTCGCAGCAATGGTTTTAAGTTGGAAAAATTCAGATTCAGGAAGGATATAGGAAAGTACATACTGGTTTGGTAATAGAGTTGTGGATGAGTGGAACAAACCCCCAAGTACAGTTATAGAGGCCAGAACATTGTGTAGCTTTAATAATAGGTTGGATAAATACATGAGTGGATGTGGGTGGGTGTGAGTTGGACCTGATAGCTTGTGCTACCAGGTCGGTTGCCGTGTTCCTCCCTTAAGTCAATGTGACCTGACCTGACTAGGTTGGGTGCATTGGCTTAAGCCGGTAGGAGACTTGGACCTGCCTCACATGGGCCAGTAGGCCTGCTGCAGTGTTCCTTCGTTCTTATGTTCTTAAGTGGGACAGAATTCTTCCTCCGTAAGCCATGCGTGTTGTAAGAGGAGACTAAAATGCCGGGAGCAAGGGGCTAGTAACCCCTTCTGTATATATTACTAAATGTAAAAGGAGAAACTTTAGTTTTTCCGTTTGGGCCACCCTGCCTCGGTGGGATACGGCCGGTGTGTTGAAAGAAAGAAGAAATATATATACAGTGGACCCCCGCATAACGATCACCTCCGAATGCGACCAATTATGTAAGTGTATTTATGTAAGTGCGTTTGTACGTGTAAGTTTGGGGGTCTGAAATGGACTAATCTACTTCACAATATTCCTTATGGGAACAAATTCGGTCAGTACTGGCACCTGAACATACTTCTGGAGTGAAAAAATATCGTTAACCGGGGGTCCACTGTATACATATATATATAGTATATATAATATAGTAGGTTGGTAGACAGCAAGCACCCAGGGAGGTACTACCGTCCTGCCAAGTGAGTGTAAAACTGAAGCCTGTAATTGTTTTACACGATGGTAAGATTGCTGGTGTCTTTTTTTATCTGTCTCATACACATGCAAGATTTCAGGTATGTCTTGCTACTTCTACTTACACTTAGGTCACACTACACATACATGTACAAGCATATATATACACACCCCTTTGGGTTTTCTTCTATTTTCTTTCTAGTTCTTGTTCTTGTTTATTTCTTCTTACCTCCATGGGGAAGTGGAACAGAATTCTTCCTCCGTAAGCCATGCGTGTTGTAAGAGGCGACTAAAATGCCGGGAGCAAGGAGCTAGTAACCTCTTCTCCTGTATATATTACTAAATGTAAAAGGAGAAACTTTCGTTTTTCCTTTTGGGCCACCCCGCCTCGGTGGGATACGGCCGGTGTGTTGAAAGAAAGAAAGATGATTGCTGGTGTCTTTTTCATTCTGTCTCATACAGATGCAAGATTTCAGGTGCGTCTTGCTACTTCTACTTACACTTAGGTCACACTACACATACATGTACAAGCATATATATACACCCCTCTGGGCTTTCTTCTATTTTTTTCTAGGTCTTGTCCTTGTTTATTTCCTCTTACCTCCATGGGGAAGTGGAACAGAATTCTTCCTCCGTAAGCCATGCGTGTTGTAAGAGGTGACTAAAATGCCAGAAGCAAGGGGCTAGTAACCCCTTCTCCTGTATAAATTACTAAATTTAAAAAGAGAAACTTTTGTTTTTCTTTTTGGGTCGCCCTGCCTCGGTGGGATACAGCCGGTGCGTTAAAAGAAAGAAAAAGAATAGATTTTTAACTATTTTACATCCACAAAGCTTGAAATTTCACTCTAATATGCATGTAGGTCTAAAAAAAAAAAATACAATTGTGTTACTTGTCTAATTATCATCTATATTCTACATGATGTGCTTAGTTCTCTGCAGATCTTGAAGTATTCATGTGATAGAGTATAAAATGAGATGCTAGTAATTAAAAGATTAAACTGTCAGATTAAACCATACAACGGCAGGATTTGAACTCGCGGTCAGAGAGTCAAAACTCCAGACCGTCGCGTTAGCCACTGGACCAGCTAGCCACAAAAAGATTCGTCCAACTAGGTGTATTTCTACACCATAGGAAGGTTAGCATAGGCACCATTGTGACCACAAATGCAAGTTTTTACAGACGAATCTCCAGCTGGCGTGGCCGTGACGAACTCTAGCTCAAGTCCCCTCACTGCCGTCAACATGACTCAATGTTGTTTGCAATAGTGTCATTACGATTTCGTGAGTCCTGTCAGATTAATAATACATGTACAGGATTACTCTTAAAATGCTATAGTACTTAGCATGCTGTTTGTTTTATGCATAAATTTTACTGACTAAGAGCTGTTATCCTACATCAGCTCATTTTCAAGTTCAGCCCTTACTAAGGTATACAACTATCCACCTGGGATCTTCCCCACACCAGTCGATAAACATCCTGGTACATATCTACTTGCTGCTAGCTGAACAGGGGCAGCAGGTGTAAGGAAACATGCCCAATGTTTCCACATATGCCGTCTTTCCAGAGCTTGAAACAAGAAGGGCCCAGATTAATTTACGGATGGAGGGTGATGTACATGGAAAGTTTCCTTAAATTTGCACCTGTTCACCCAGCTGTAAAGTAGGTATACCTAGAAATTAGTTGGCTTCTTTGGGTCACATTTTAGGAGAACCTTGATCTAAACAAATCATACTGTGTGACTTTGGATATTCTAGGTTTAAAGCCTTACTTTATGAAACCTTCTGACCCCTTCCCCTCAGCATGACCACTTCGAAGCTGCCAAAGTGCTACTGGAGCATGGAGCCAACCCCAACACCAGGTACTTTTTTGGCTCAGAGATCAACTTGGTTAATCCTCTCAACACTCAGCTGCTGCACCTGCTGCTCTCGTATGGTGCTAACCCCAACGCTAGAGACCGACAGGGCTTCACACCTATCATGAAGTGCTGTCGCTTACAACAGGTGGGTCCTTGGAGGCTGATGGCAGCGATGACAGGACTTTTTTTATGACTGGTGCCAAGAACTTCATGGGGTATCTTTCAGTGAAGTTAATGAAACCATTTCATATTTCATCCATGATAGGAACCCTCTGAAAATAAATTTATAGTGAAAAAGTGGTAATTTTCAATACGAAATTGTGTAAGATTGTACAAAAAGTCCTGTTAATAGTGCCTACATTGCATGACACGGCATGGTGTGGCAGCAAGAATTAACAGTTATCGTGTGTACTATTTCATAACAATAGCATTAACTTCTTAATTTGTTTTACAGAGCATGTGATCATTGCTTTATAATTAGTGTTAGGGTAGAATCTCAAACCTATGCTCTTTGCAAGTATGGGCACCTAGCCAATACTAGGCATTGTCTCCCCATAGCTATGACCCTTATGGGTTTAGCACTTGGTTATGATTATAATAATAGTTTCCCCATAACCTGGAGCACCAGGCTTGTGTTAAGCTATTTCATCTCATCCTGTCGCATCCACTGGCCTTCAGAAAGGATTTTAGAATGCTTAACAATACGCAGACGAGCGAAATTATTTACAAACACTATCTAGACCAGGACTCGACCTGTGCACTCTGCATCAGAGTACACAGAGTGGCATTACTTAATTAAATTTTAAGACAATATAGTGCCGCAAAAATGCGTAAATCTGAATACTATATTTTGATACAACACTTATCATTTTAAAAACTTCAAAATTTAGCAAACAGTTTGGCTATTGTCATGGTTGCCATGTAACCCTTGTCTAGTAGCCTTGATTGAGCTACTGTTGGGCATTTTATGTGCTACAGTACCAAACTACAGGAGGGCCCTGCTTTACAGTGCTTCGCCTTACAGCATTTTGCTAATACAGCTGCTTGTTATACCCATTCTTCATTTATTCAGGCTTCCTACAATTAATGTGTTCAATATAAGCTAAGCATGAAAATTTTTTAAGGTAAGTAATGTGTGATACTGTGTATGCATTTTTTAGGCCTAGCTCTATTGCTCACTTAATACATACTATATGATAGTGTAAAGTGAAAGTGAAAAACAAGGCTTTCACTACAGCAGTAGCCAAGAATCTAACCTTCTTTATAAGTGGGGCCTGCCTGTATATTTACCCCTTTTAAATGTGAGAAATGCCCTATGAATTATATAATTTAAAAGTTAACTGTAATTAAAAAATTGAAAGGCATCCTGTAACAGCTTAAGAAAAGTAAAAGCAGCCTCTTTACATAAAAAGATTACATAAGAAGAAGAAGAACATAAGAACGAAGGAACACTGCAGAAGGCCTACTGGCCCATGCGAGGCAGGTCCAAGTCTCCTACCGGCTTAAGCCAATGCACCCAACCTAGTCAGGTCAGGTCACATTGACTTAAGGGAGGAACACGGCAACCGACCTGGTAGCACAAGCTATCAGGTCTAACTCACACCCACCCACATCCACTCATGTATTTATCCAACCTATTTTTAAAGCTACACAACGTTCTGGCCTCTATAACGGTACTTGGGAGTTTGTTCCACTCATCCACAACTCTATTACCAAACCAGTACTTTCCTATATCCTTCCTGAATCTGAATTTTTCCAACTTAAAACCATTGCTGCGAGTCCTGTCTAGGCTAGATATTTTCAGCACACTATTTACATCCCCTTTATTTATTCCTGTCTTCCATTTATACACCTCAATCATATCCCCCCTAATTCTACGTCTTTCTAGAGAGTGCAGATTCAGGGCCCTTAGTCTATCCTCATAGGGAAGGTTTCTGATACATGGGATCAACTTTGTCATCCTCCTTTGTACATTTTCCAGAGAATTTATATCCATTCTGTAATAAGGTGACCAAAACTGTGCAACACTCGAGTTTGGCCTGGTGGCCAAACCTCTCGCTTCCCATGGTGAGGGTCCGGGTTTGATTCCTGGTGAAGGGGTGGAAACATCACACGTATTTCCTTACACCGTTTGTCTATGTTCACCCATCAGTAAAATGGGTACTTGGGTGTTAGTCGATTGGTGTGGGTCACATCCTGGGGCAAAACTGACCTAATTTGCCTGAAATGCTCTGCATAACGAGGGGCTTTCTATATAGTAGTACATATCATTGATGTCAGCTAGGCCTGTATACATTGTACATGTACTTATAATAAATAAAGATAGATATTATTATTATTATTTTTATTATTATTTATTATTTATTATTTTTTATTATTTTTTATTATTTTTTATTATTATTTATTATTATTTATTATTATTATTATTATTATTATTATTATTATTATTATTATTATTATTATTATTATTATTATTATTATTATACTTGTCGAATGATTATGCACTTGGAGTGCACTAACTGATTCATGATTTTTCTTAGTTTAGTGACAATTTAAAGGTATAAATCAAAGGATTATATCAGTGGTTATCCTCAGATTTAAAGTGGGCATTATGCATTATATTAATATCTTCATGGCTTTGAGACTGGTATACAACTCCATTGAAAATGGGTTGGCCAATTATTTTTTGTTAGGAGATTTTTGTTTGAGGAAGATGTGCCTGGTATGTGCCAGCAGGCCTGCTGCAGTGTGCTTCCTTATGTTCTTAATTTATTTACACAAGTCCGTGAGGGAGTGTTCAGGGTATTAAGCTGATGAAGCAGTAAGGATGCAATAAAAATTGTCATGCTTTATTTATTTAAAAATTTTAATTTGTTTAAAATTAAGTTTCCAAAATTGTGAGTAGTGATGTGACTCAGCTGCCAGACAGTCCCGTTTATGTTTTGGTGGTAAATGTAAAAATTTAAATTTTGAAGTTAAAAAACCTAAGCTGAAATAACTAAAATTTTAATCGGGTTTAAGGGGGAAATTGACCCCTTGTTTTTAAAAACAAACTAGTGTTTTTTAGAAGACAAATTCCTGATGACTGTGCTTAAAACATTTGTTTTGTTTACCATTTTTTTTAAATTTAGCTTTTTTCTATGCACTGTAGTTCTGTGCTTGTCATTTTTTTACTAGAATTGTTTTTGTTGCCTTTTCACTATCCTCCCAAATTTGTGTGAACCCCTTGCATTAGTGGTAAACCTTTACTTTAGTTTGCCCCTTTTTGTGCTTAGCTAATTAAAATCCCAACCCTGCTTTACCTTTCATTTCCCTAAATTGTTTTTTGTGGTATAAACAGTTTTCTTCCTCCCTTTGAAATCATTCTCTCTCGTGGTTTCCTCTCTCTTTCGAAAGGGTCGTCAAAGAGATGGGACCCGTGACAAAATCTTGGGTTGGAGGTCCCTTTAGCACTTTGCCCCACCCCATGGTGAGTGCCCGCTGCTGCTGCTGCTGGGGGCTGGTTCTTTTGTCTCTCCTGAATTTCCCCCCCCCCCTTCCTCCAACAAACACCCAATCCCCTTTAGTGTCTTTGGGTTCTTTCCATTTTTTTCGCCACTTAATTTTTTTTTTTTTAATATACAGTAAGTGAATGTTATGCAAAAATATTGAGGAGTTTGGCATAAGCCCTGTTAGTTTTTCCCGTTTTCAATTAGCTAAGTATGTTTTTTATAAATTAGCCCTGCAGCTGTACCCCCAAAGCTAATGTTTATGTATTTAATTTTGCAAAAAAATTAGAGAAATTTTCTTATAAGTAGTTTTAAAATAAGCAGCATCCCTACGATAATTTCCCCAGGGTTTAATTTTTTATTCAATTTTTCATTCTACAAAAAGTAAAGTATTACATGTTCTTTGCCTTGTTTTTGATGCTGGGTTTTCTCTTTCAAAGTGCTCTTGAAATTCAGTTAAGTTGACTTGTTTGGGACTATAACTTGTTAAATTACAGCTCCAAAAAAAAAGTACCCCGGGGGTTTATTTTGGGCAAGAGGAGGGATGTAGGCAAATTTTTTAACAATCATTGCATCACTTAGTAAGAGGGTTTCTAGGATTTAGTTTTGGCTGTTTGGGGCCGTACCTATGGTAGGAAAAAAAAGGAATCAGAAATAAGCCCCACTCCCGGATTTATTGGGTTACCCTGGGTTCCTTTTGGGGGGGTTATTGGTTAGTAATACAAAAAGGTTTCAGGGGTGTACTAATTACGTCTTTTGCAACTTGTATGTAATACACTCCCCACCTAGCACAACTGGGACAAAGTGAGGAGCGTCAGGAAAATAGGAAAAGCCACAATGGTCGAAATTTCCGACAGGGAAAAAGGGTAAGAACAGCTATAAAAACTGAGGAAATTGAAAGGTGACAGGGAGACTGTTTGAATGAGTACAGCAATGAGAGGGCTAATGGTAGTTGAAAACTTGGGGAGTCGTATACGATTTTAGGAAGTTTTTTTCCCCTTTTGGGTTGTCAGGAAGGTAACAATCGGGAAAGTAAAGTGTAGACAGAACCCAAAAATGTTTTAAGAAGAGGTATGGGGTCTTAGAGCCAGGAGGAGTGGATCTAGTAGAAACCCAAAACAGAGGGCGGGCCCGAAGCTGTCCCCCAACCCCTAACCACATAGGGGTGGTCCCCAAAATTGTCGGTCATCTTGTAATTCGTTTTTTTTCCTATTCAAATTAATTATGGTGTAGTCTAGACTTTCAAACAGTAATGTCCAAGTCCTATTTTTTTAAATAGTTCATTTCCACAGATTCCCTTCCACCTTTTTTCAGGAGCTGTTTCAACACACTTTTTTTCTATAGCCAAACACTCCACACTGTGAACCTAAATGCTTAAAGTTAAATTTTGATGCTTAAAATTTAAAAAATATTCGGGAGCAAAAACCTACTTATTGTGTATAGGGTTAAAATTATGTTCAGGTTAATTTTAACATTACTCGGAAAAAAATTTTGTCCATAATTTTTCAGTATTTAAAATTTAGACATATTAACCCATGAGTCCAATTTACAGTAGTTAGCTTTGAAAATTTAAAATTTCATCTTCACCGGGAAAATTAGCTTAATGCAAGGGGAATAAAAGGGAAGGGGGCAGGGGTTTTGGGCCCATAAGATTTTT